CAATTATACCTTCAGTTAGTTTCTGTTACTTCTTGTGCATAGTCATTCTTCAGTCCTTTGTATTGCTTTAAGTGTTCTTTGAAGGGCTGGTTTTGTGGACATGAATTCTTTCAGCATATTCATTGTGGAAGATTTTTCTTTCTCCTTCCACTATAATAGACAGTTTTTTTCTGGGTAACATATTCTGGGTTGGCATCTATGGTCATTTAGAACTGGTAATACTTTATTCCAGGCTCTTCTGGCTTTCATAGTTTGCATTGAAAAGTCAGCTGTAATTCTTACGGTTTTTCCTTTATATGTGATGTGTTGCTTTTCTTTTGCACCTTTCAGCATTCTCCCTTTGCTCTGTACATTTAGTGTGCTTTTACTGTTATATGCCATGGGGATTTTCTTCCCTGGTTCAATTTGCTGTTCTATGTTCTTCCTGTATTTATATGGGTATGTCTTTCCTTAATTTTCAGAAATTTTCTTCTACAATTCTGTAGAAGAGATGGGTACTCTATTCTGTGTTTTTGGTTTTTTTTTTTTTTTTTTTTTAATTTTTCATAATCTTTACTTGAGCAGTCCAATTCTTCAATTTCAATATTCAGTCTTGATACTCTGTTTTCCTTTTCATTCATTCTATTGGTGAGAACTTCACCTGTCATTTCACATTGACTTATGGAGTTTTTCACTCTCTTCATCATTTCAGTCTGAGTTTTCTTCAATATTTCTATCTCTTTTGTGGATTCAGACAGAAGTTTATCCCTATCATATTTTAATTATTTGGTTTGTTTGTTTGTGTGATCTGTAAATTTGTTGAATTCTTTGATCATGTTTATGATTGTTCCTTTAAATTTTGTGTCCTGGGTTATCTCTGGGGTGTTTTCATTGCAAAACTTTTCTATAGTACTTGTGATGTTTGGTGGGAACATATTATTTTGGTTTTTCATAGTATTATTTTTTTGTTGTGATTTGGCATGAGAATTTTTTTGTTGTTTGTGATTATGGCATGAAACTTTAGCCTTCCTTTGTTGAGTTGAAGCCTGATTCTGTTTGTATTATTGATGTACTTTGGTTGTTTAATGATTGGGTATGAAAAGCTGGTAGATCTAGACTTCAAGTTCTTTCTTTGAACTTTGTATTGGAGGAATCAAATGGCTCTAGTTCAGCTACTTATGAGCTTTCCAGGAGAGTGAAAACTTTGTTGCTAGTTAGGAACACTTCAGATGGGTAGTGACAAGGTCCAACTAAAGGAGATGGAAAATGCAAGTGTTGAAAGCATTGGTCCCTACTAGTCAGCAGGGAAGTCTAAGCCCTGGAGAAGTGGGAGGGACTGCAGATAATCTCAAATCAGGGGGATATGAATGGTGTGATTCCTCCAGCTCATTCATGAGGCCAAGTCAGGTGCTCTCAGGTAGTATGCCAAGGTCTGGACACCTATTATCCACCAGGAAAGCCAGGTCCTGGGTGTTGGGAGAGATTGAAGATGGTCCCAAAGCACGGAGATGGGCATGGAGCAATTTGGGAAGCTCACCCCATGGAGGCCCAAGTCAGATGAGTCCAATTTAAATATATTTTAAGATATACTTGTTAAAAAAAATGCAGTAGGGATATCACTCAGTCAGAAAAGCCCTACCTGTGCAAACATGTGGACCTGAGTTCAGATCCTTGGTGCCCATGTAAAAGTCAGGTGAGGCACTCTCTCTGCTTTGGGGCAGAGAAAGGTAGATTCCTGAGGCTTGCTGGCCAGCTAGTCTTTTCAAGCTCCTGATTAAGGGAAAAAGTCTGTGTGAAAAAATAAGGTGGAGAATGATTGAGGAAGATACCCAATATCAAACTCTGACCTCCATATGTATGCACACATACATGCCTGCCCAAGTATGTACGCAGATACACCACACAAATGCATATGCACAAATACTATTACAAACTAATAAAAATTATATACTAGTTATGAGGAAAATTATTTGTACTGGAGACAGTGCTTCATTTTGTTGATTTTTAATATGTATACTTAATGACAACATCTAAATGCACCTTCTTTCTGGGAGCAATAGTAATTTACAGTTGACACTTTATACCAACATAGAAATTCACATCCATTTGGCCTGAGATGCAAATATTTCAGGAAAGAACTTTAATGTTAAAAAAATAAAAGAATTTTCTCCTCCCTTTTTGCCAATGTCAATCCCCCATTCTTATTTGTTGTATGTGTCTGGGCATAGAATGGGACATTCAGACAAAAAATAAAAAGGAAGCACAAATAATAGTTAAAATAAGATTTCATGGACTGCAATTCCCACAGAATTCAGCTAGCATTGAATCTAATCTGCATTACAAAATAGTGTATGTAAATGTTTGAAACACAGAGAAAAGGAAGGATAAAATTTTATTTAAAGTAGAGAAAATCAATTTAGTTGAATACAGTTTAATCACAACTGGACTTCATTCTAATAATTTCCCTCCCCCCAAGCTAAAATAAAAACAACCTTCCTCTGATGAACTACTATGCAAACTTCTTTGCCTCTGACATATTGTGAGGGTATTTTTGGCATAAGTAACTGAAAAAAAAAGTCTTTGAATCTACTTAGTGTAACAAAAACACTATAGAAATTCTAGAAGAAAAAAGTCATTGAGATACAAATTAGTTTTTAAGAAAACACCAAAGGAAAGACAATTAATTTGTTCTTTTTACAAACCTTGCTTTTAAGTCTCTGTAATAACTATTAAACTGTTCTTAAGAAGGAATTATAAAGGAAGTGTTTGAATTTCTCATGCTAAAGAATTCATGCATGAATGTTTGAGCCAATCTATCTTATGCACAGGCTCAAATTAGTTTTCAAATCAGACTACGTTAAATATCAGTTAACAATATTATATTTGTTCAGAAATTAAAATATCTCCACGTTATATTTGTAGATACTTAAATTTTCCCAGATAGTGAAATCTTATGTGTTCTTTAAGCACATGGATTAAGTAAAAACTTTTCCCATAGAGTGAATAACATCGTTCTCCTTGCCACATACTTTCAACTGGGCTGAAAAATTTACCTATGTAGGAAATTACATGAAAATTGAGAATTCAAAATAAACTACTCCTAGTATTGAAAAGCTTCTCCCTCTTCATCTTCTTTTCTGGATAACATCTTATTAAGACCTAATGATATGACAGATGCTATCAGTCATTAATCATGTTTGGGTTATTATACTCTGGTTAGGTCAAGGGCAAGGATAAAGACAGGAAGTTCCTGGATTAGGTCCAGATTTTGCTGTCTGGGAGGAGTATACTTGTCTATCATTCTCAATGACAGCTATTCATCTAGAAAATTCTTCCTTGCTTCCATGGGCATGTCTGAAGTAGACTGTGGGAAATGAATTCTTTTTTTGTATGTGCTAAATATTCTCTCCTGAACCTCCTTTTATATAAGATCATCACCAGTATTTCAGTCAAATTCCTTATCCTCACTCATCTCACAGGAAATGTCTATTGCTCTGACCTGCCTTCAGCAAGAATCCTTTTAGGTAAGTTTAACAAGAATGTCCCTTAATCATGATGGTTGCACTTAATGATTTTCCACTGAAACTCATCCTGATACTTCACTACAATTTCCCCTTTGTCATTGTATTTAAAGTTGAGTCCATTTTCTGTTCCCTAATAAGAAACAACATTGTAGTGGGACCTACATCTACTATACTGGCGTACAAATAATGTCTACCTTACTCTTTAATATGCAATATAAGTAACTTTTTTCTTTGCTTGTTACTATACAGAGTTCACAAAAATGATACATTGTAAATTTGAGCACCTAATGTTTAAAATAACCCTAATTTTAAAAAAATTTTCATACAATAAAGTAATATTGAAATTCAAGTTTGTGGTTTGTTT